GGCTTTGCCCCCCATTTTCAGCTCTGAGGGCCCGTTAGGCCATGGCGCTTTCTTTAACCTTTGCCTCACAGAATTTCATTTAAACTGAAATAATAATAAAAAAAAAAGCCAAGCAGAACACTGGGCGGGGGGGACACACGGACGGACACGACACGACGACCCAGCCATGAGCCCCCGGGCGAGGGGCAGCAGCGCAGCGGGCGGCTTTCCCTCCCCAGCTCGAAGCCTTGTGAGGCTGTTAAATTATGCACTTGTTTGGGAGCAGTGCGGCAGTTTTTGTGTTGTATTATTCATGCTGGCGCCAGTAATGAGCAATCTGATCAGACAGAAAGCTAGCGGTGTCAAAATGTGAGCTTCCGTTAATAAAGATAGTGCCACATCTCCAAAGAGGTGCTCCTCTGCGTTAATCACACATCGCTCCCACAACTTTGACACGTGAAAAGAGGAGGGGGGAAAAAAAAAAAAAAGACACCAAAAAACCACTCTAAATAAATCCCCTCCTGGAAAAAGACACGGCAAGGGGCAGCACCCCATGCTGCTGGCAGCCCTCCACGCTGGAGCCAAGGCTGCTCCCCTGGCCGTGGAGCCGGGATGTGGAGTTTGAACCAAGGCTGCTCCTTCCTCGGGGTCTGGGATTTTGGCACCGGTCTTCATGCCATGGAATACAACAGAGGCCATTAACTTACCTCCAGTGATGCCAAAAAGGCGGAGGGAGCGGTCACCGGCGTGACCAAGGCTCACACAGCATCGTGTGGTGCTTCCCAGCTCCACGTTTTGGGGGATGACCCTCCTAGCCCTCCCACCAGCATGTGGGCCTGGGCCATGGCAGCACGGCCCTGCCAGGATGGAGGGAGGGAGTCATCCTCGCTGGCAGCACTGACATGGCACCCATCACACCATCCCACACACAGTCGTGGCTCCCAGTTTTGAATGCGCTGGCCCAGCAAAGTAAAGGACGACAGTCTACAAATGCACCAGAAGGCCGCACGCCTCAGAGGGCAGCACGCCCCCCGCACCACAAGGTTAATATGTTAATGAAAGAAAATGTGGGCAGAAAATGGCTGTGAATAAGTTTAGCCAGGTCACGGACAACTCTCAGCGTAATGCAGGTAGAGTTACCCTTTCACTCAAAGTAACGCGGGGCAGAAAGCTAAACCCCTTGGAGGTGTGGTTCAGGAGGTCTCTGAAGACAACAGTCATCATAGTCCACACCACAGGAGGAGGTTGGACTCCACGACCTCGGGGTTTCTGCTAATCCCATGCCATAGAGCCAAAAAGAGAAGTAGGCTTTGACATGGGTCTTGGCACATTGGAAGGGCTCCCTGATATTTACGTGAGATAACACTCAGGTACCTGCTTGGCAATGGTTCCTGCTGTACCTGGATAAACTTCAACCGCTGACCTCGCCCAGGGTCATGCAGTTATCCTGTGCTTGAAGACAATAGGCTGATCTTCTGATTTTCCATATTTCACAGACAGGTGGCTTCGACAAGTTCATAGCAGACTTAAAACAAAGAGATCTGGGCACAGTATCAAAGCTTTATGCTCTGCTTTTATCGTAAGACTATCCTTCATCTTACAAGTCAGTGCTACCCCCTTCATTCACGAGAGATACTTTATTCGACTAATTACAAATATGTGCAATTGTAAGACAAGGATTAGACCCCGTCGCTGGAAGATTGAGCTGTGATGCTTGATAATGATAGTGTAATGATATCTTAAGGTCAATCTACACTCATGCATACATTCATTAACCCACATGTCATTAAATTTAGGTTTTCAGATGTTCCCATCTGTGAGGGAGCTACAGCACACAGTCATGAAAAAAGGCAACAGAAACACTAGCCAAGGAGTGCAGGGCTCCAAGGACAAGCCCTGACACGTTTGTTGCTCTTTTCTATGTCACTAATGCATCGTACACTGTGTTTAGAGAACGCTGATTTATACAGTGAGTATGTTTGACAGAGAAAGGCAGCGTAACGCCTCCAGAGCAATGTTAAACAAGCACCTTAACAGGTCATGAAAAAAGGCAACGGAAACACTAGCCAAGGAGCGCAGGGCTCCAAGGACAAGCCCTGACACGTTTGTTGCTCTTTTCTATGTCACTAATGCATCGTACACTGTGTTTAGAGAACGCTGATTTATACAGTGAGTATGTTTGACAGAGAAAGGCAGCGTAACGCCTCCAGAGCAATGTTAAACAAGCACCTTAACACCTTTTGTACGTTGTGTAGGAAACAGTTGACAATGTCAAGAGTTCCCTGCCAGGAACAGGGTCCAGAGCTCCCAGTCTCCTGCCCCTTCCAAAACCAAAGTCCCTCTTTCCGTCCCAATACTTGGCTACAGTCACGCTGATAGAGAAGGAAATGTAATCACTTCCACGCAGAGCCCTTCCCTTACCCCGAGAGCACTGCCAGAGCAGCCGGCTGTTTCACACACGCACACGGCTACAGTGTGGCTGAGAGTAACCCTGCCATGCCTTGGTGGGCTGTCACAGCCCGCGCTAGCATACGGGGACACCAGTGGGTGCTGCTCCTGAAACAGCAGCCTCTAGCAGCTCTTACTGTTCCTCATCTTTTGGACAGAGCAAGCCCAGCACGTGGCCTCTCCCCCTAAACAGTGATCCTAAAGCCCAGGAACCATGCCACATCTTACCAGCATCATAGCAAGCCTGGTGCAGCATACACAGACTGGGTGGTAACACTCACCTCCAGCACCCACTGGCGCCAACTGGAACAAAGAAACAGCCGCAGCCGTGCGTAGTATTTATCTCATCTCCACCAAACCGCACCATACGCTGTTAAACAAATGCAGGAATTCAGCCCCTTGTCGGTGTAGCTGGGTGGCCCTTTTCAGCGCTCTCAGCTGTAACGCAGTGTGGCAGGATGCAATGGGAGGAGCAAGGAGGATTGCCGTGGTTCACGTGGACCTGCTTCGCTCACAGACAAGAGCAGCCTCAGGATTCTTGTCACAGCACCTTTCACCAGCACAAGAGACATGAAACGCTCGAATCCACCTTAGAGGTAATGCTATACCTGTATGAGATACTAGTTACCTTCCTGCCCCATACAAGCAGAGATTTTAAACCCCCTGTTTAAAAACCCCTTGTCAAGAAGCTCGTCCCTGCACAGCTGACTCTTGTATTCACCCAGAAAAGGCAGATGAATGAAATCCAGAGCAAGCCTGACACGCTGACAGTCCTATCGCTCCTGCTTCAGCAATAAAGCTCTCAAGGCAACGCTTGGAAGAACAGTTTTTCCCCACAGACCACCTATTTTGTCTTGGTTTTGGTGTTGTGCAGAGGGCTCACTGGGCTACTACCCACACCAAACTGTATATCAAACTGGCAGCAGATATTCAGAGAGCACTTTCCCCTCCAGCCCAGCCTGTACCATCAGGTACAGGCCATCTCTTCTAGATGAGACAGGGAGAGCTTTCCACGGCAGTCAAGCATGGGTGTGCCAGGACAGGGAGCTTACAGCATTTCTTCCTGACAGCCTCAATATTGTAATTAGGTTGATGTAAATAGAAAAGCCTGGCAAACCTGCACCTGCTTTCCCTTACGGTCACCCTCAGTGAGACTGATGCTTCCTGACCAGAATTACCATGCACCAGTGAGTAATTTTCTCCCCACTGGACCAGTCTGCACTGGAACTACACAGTGTTATTTCTGAACTGCTCAGCAATTAAGGTTCCTCAGTGCAAGACTCAAGACACTCGCACAGAGTTTTGCAAACCCACACAAAACAGGTAACAACCACCATCTTTAAGACTTGGTTCTTTTTGCATGGTTTGTCCTGGATTTCCCCCCCCCCCCACCTTGGTAACAAAGATGCTCAGAACAAACTGCAGCAGTGCTGTGGATTAATGAGGTATCAAAATACAAAACAAACACCAACCAGACAGGACATCTCAGAGTATTTTTATTTAACAAAAATAGCTTTTCAGTTAGAAACCAACAGTGTCAACACGTTTACAGAATTTCATAGGCATCAGTAACTCTGCATACAGCTCCAGTTAGGCTCCGTAGCCACCTCATCACCACAGCAACAGGAACCTGAACAACATCCAGGTGTGGCTTCCATACATTAAATATAGGCCTGGAGACATACGCAGTGTAGCATGCCTCTCTATTGCAGTTGCCACAGTTTCATTACTTTGGTAGAAAAATCATTTTTATTGCTGCAATTCATTAGTTAATTTTTGACTTGCTGTTAAGTAACTGGGTTGTTCCCCATCGAAGACCTGTTCTCTGTATGAAAAATGTGATTGAAATTGAGCTGCTTCTTTCGGTCACTTGACACAAGTGCTGTACACCCACTCCTGCAACTGCCACCAGACCAAGGAACCCAAAGGACAGGATATGCAGGATGTGTGCACTCCTATCCCTTTCCCAGGTCAGCTCGTAAGCTAGCATTTCATGGCTTTGGATTTTATTTTTTTAAAAAAAACAAAAAACAGTAAAGAAAGGAACATATACATGGGTGGCTTCAAGTTTCCATTTCAGGATAAGGCAGTTAAGTTTACATGTGTAAATGCCGCTATGGCTGAGCCCCTACGTTTAG